CATCCACACTAGGGGGTTGTACTGCTTTAACTATATCTGTTTCTAAAGCAATATATTTTGAGCCGTACCAAGCTGTGCAGACCAGCTCCCAGTGTAGAAAGGAGAACGGCAAAGAGGTATGGGGGTGGGGAGGGAGAGCATGCGCTCAGCATACCTATTTACCCTAGCCTACAAGACAGCGCTCAAAATTAAAGAGCTGCTTATTTGAAATTGAAAAGGGCAAATTATTTTTTGTTGTACTCCTCTTATAATTAACTCATGATACTTGCTGTCGCAGGGTATTTTCAAGGTGTACGCTCAGTGAGATTCATGGAGGCCAGTGGCAGGAATGAGAAGTTGAACAATGGACCAGATGTTGCTCTCATAGTACCAGTGGTAAACCAGAGTAACTCTACTGAAATCAGTTTAGTGGTTTTGGATTTACACACGTGTGGGCGAGATCAAAATCTGACTCTGCATCTGCCAACACAGTGAACTAGGATTTTAATTACAAGGATTATTGATCCTCACGCTTCAGGGAACAAGCACCCTGCTGAGTTCAGGAAGGAGCTTCTCCTGCCCTGCCCCTTTTGCTTCGTTATGGCACACATTGTATCTACTGGTCAGGCAAGGTTCACATTGTATCTACTGTACAGAGAGAGAGAGAGAGAGAGCGCGAGCCAGATTCTGCTCTCACATAGACCAGGGTAAATCAGGAGGAACTGGTGAAGTCACCAGCATTACACTGGTGTAAGGAAGAGCAGAATCAGCTCCCTCTGCCTTTGTATTAAAGAAAAGTAACTGTTTTGATCCAAGTAAGTTAAAGAAACAATTACTGCTCAACTCCCAGGCTGGTTCTACTTGCTACCAGAGAACAAAGAGCTCCCAGCATGTTCCGAAGGAATAGGGAGCTGCACCTCACAGAAACACCACGGCTCATATTCTTCCAGGTACGTGCCACACACAAATACGCCCCCCTGAGCAACATAAGTTTCACTGGCATAAGCACCCGTGTGCACAGCACTATGTTAGTGGCAGATGCTTTCCCACCAACATAGCTACCGCCGCTTGTTAGGTAGTTTTATTTATGTCAATGGGAGAGCTCTCTCCCATCGGCATAGAGCAGCCACATGAGCAATCTTACAGTGGCATAGCTGTATCAGTACAGCTGTGCCGCAGTAAGCTTGCTAGTGTAGACATGGAGACTTCAAGAGAGACAAGAAGGTGAATAGCAAGAACCTTAGCTCAGAGATGGCATAAATATATACTTGTGACTCACCAGCCACTCAAACCCAGACACCATCTGAAATATACCAGGATGGGAGAGGAAGGCCAATGAGTGACAAAGGGGAGAGGACTCCTGCCTGGAATTACATCAACTTGGCTGCTTTCCACTGATCCAGGCCATCATCTAACAGGGGGCTGCACACACCGGTGCTGGAACTAGGGGTACTGGGGGTGCACCTGCACCCGACTTGAAGTGGTTTTCATCATATAAAGGGTTTGCAGTTTGATTCAATGGCTCTCAGCACCCCCACTATACGAATTGTTGAATGGGTTCTTGAAGACTGGCTGGGGATTAGAGGAACTATACTGCCAAGACAGAGATGGGCGCAAATCAGAAATTCCCAGATCCCAACCAGGGGCCAGTGCAAGGATATTTTGCACCCTAGGCGAAACTTCCCACCCCCCGGCACATCGGTTCATTGAGGGGCAAATCCCAACAAGCCTTTATAGCTCTAACTGCACCTGTTACCTCTTGATTATTAAAAAGATATTTCTTAATGATCAATAATGAATACAATCATAATATACAAGGGCAGAGGGGATATTTTATTCTTGGGTTATAAATCTTTTTCCTCTTACAATATAAATCATACATGCTGCTAAGAAGGAAGGTCTTGTGTGAGAGTCACATGCCTGGGAGTGAGCAGATCCATGTTCTATTCCCAGCTTTTCCTCAGAATTCCTGCAACACACACATTCTTCTCCCTTGCAAGGCAACTCAGAGGAACATCTAGAAGAGCTAGCTCTTAAATAGACACATCCTTGGGCCAACATGACACCCATATGCCTCATTTTCAATTGAATAGGCACATTGCCTCCCAAGAACTCCAGCGAGCAGGGATAGGGCGTGTGCATGGCACACCATCCCTAGAGGACATGCTACCATATTTGCAACCAATGTGGAGAAAGGTGTAAGGGGAACATGACCAAGTCTGCGGCCCAGCACATTTTGAGGGAATTTGTGCACCAAGGGTCCCCAGAGTGAGTCCCTGAAGCAGGGGTACTTGCAACCATGTACTATGTGTCCTAGGGTGTAGGACAACACATATCTGTCAGTTTATGGTTCAAGAGCCTTCAAATGCCATTGCATCTACTAACTGATGATTAGACAATACAGCACTGAAGCACTTGCATAACTTCAACCATGTGAGTAATCCTGCTACGTTTAAAGTTACTCACATGCTTCAGTGCCTGGAAGCACTGCCACTCTGGTAGTGGAGTTATGTATTACCCTTCCCATGGCGCGGTGTTTCAAAAATATTAATATTAAAGATTTATATTGCCAGAGGCGTCAACCATGTTGGGGCCCCATTGTGCTAGGAACTAAATTGATACATAGTAAATGATAGTCCCCAGGTGTTTACAGTCTAAAGACGTGATATAACAGGTGCATAGGCAAACACCTGGGCAGGTTGTCCGTGGTGCATATGGCTGTGGGATGTTTCTTTTAGGATGAAATCCAAATTAATAAACAAAGTCACTTGGCATAGCCTACCAAGAATCAACTTTGCAGTTGACAAATCCCACTCAGTTAATTGCTCATCTAACTTTCAGCAACTTTCATGAAAATCTAGGCTCTTTATCTCTTAGATAAAAAAATATGTATTTCTCTCCCTGCATCCTCTGGAAACCTAACTACTTGATGGCTTAGTTGATATGGAGTTCATTGTTTTTCAGTTGACTTTCAAAATGTGCAGTGCAAATATTTGAGTAACAGTACCTCAAAAGGCAGAAGGGGGGGGGGAGGTTGTTTTTCCATACTCAACTTTCAAAATCATTTTCTCTCTCTGTGAATTTTTAACAATAGTAAAGTTAGTAAAACAAGACTTTTTTTTAAGATGTGATGGTCCAAGTATAAACAAACAAAACTCCCTCTTCCTATAGACATCTTAGCTCCACACATTCTCTCTCGCTCTCAGCAAGGGATTCAATTAGAGCTTGGCACATTTTTTCAGGTGAATCGTTTTTCTGATGAACACCATTCAGTCAACCTGAAACTACTCATGAATCTAATACAAATTTGCTGAATAGTTTCAGCGAGAGAGACATTTCCAGACTAGATTCACAAAACAGCCAGAGAAGGCAGAGGTTGGGTACTTTATAGCTTTTAGCACAGTGCACTCACCAGGGATGTGGGAGACCTAGGTCTGAGTTCCTCCCCTGGAGCAGGGACTTAAACCCAGGTGTCCCCCAAGCTCTGGAACAAGGATTTGAACCCAGCTCTGCCCTAACCAGCAGGCTCTTAGCTCTTCTGGAGTGGGTCTCTCTCTCCATCTCTCCTGTTGAAATTGTTGTGCTTTGTATGAAATACTTGAATAGTCATTGGGCCAGAGAGCAAGACACAATGAGAATAACTCTATTGTCTGGAGATTAGGGCACTCCCCTGGAATGTGGGAGATCCAACTTCAAGTCCCCGTGCCAATGAACCTTTAATGCCTTAAATACTGGTCTAAGGCTATGTCTACACCAGCACTTTTGTCAGTAAAATTTTGTCTGTCAGGGGGTGTGAAAAAACACACCCCGACTGACATAAGTTACACTGAAAGAAGTGTCAGTGTGGACAGAGCTATTTTGGTGGGAGAGCTTCTCCCACCGACATACCTAATGCCACTTGTTGGGGGTGGTTTAATTATGCCAAGGGGAGAGCTCTCTTCTGTCAGCATAGAGCGGCTACATGGGAGACCTTACAGCAGCGCACCTACATCAGTACATCTGTGCCGCATTAAGGTGTCTAATGTAGATGTAGCCTAAAAGTTACAAGGGGGCCCACCATCTTCATTCAACCCAGCACAGACTTCTTCAGTTCACTGATATTTTCCACAATGTGTAGATCCGGGTCAACCAAAACCAAATATTTTTTCCAATACCAGCAAACCAAAAAAAAAAGAGGTTAGTTTTCACACTGCCCTATTCATAGTGCTTCCCCCCTCCCCTCTGCAGAATCCTCAGATCAGGACATTCCCCAACACACAGACAAACGCGCACACCAGGAGACCGGTAAAGTTCTTCTCACAGAGCAGCGCCTGCAGGCACCCAGTATATGTCAGAACGTTACAGCAAATGAAATTCCTGCAGCCTATCCCACTGTGTGCTCCCTCCCACTCCGCATACACCCGCTCTACCCATCCCTGCTTTACAACCCCATCACTGCCTGCTCCTCTCAGCGTGTGTCCTTCTCACAGCCCGTAACTGTCTCTGCCCATCCCTTTTGCTACCTGGCCCATGCACTCCTTAACCCTAACAGTACCTGTTGCCTGTCCCTCTCACAGCCCTGTGCTCTCCACCCCCCTAGCAATCCCTCGGTGCCCATTCCCTTTGCTATCCATCCACCTCTTTGCCAATCTCTCTAGCATCCCTTGCTGCCAAGTCCCCTCACTACCCATTTCCCCCTCTGGTGTCCCTACCTTCTCACCTCAGAATTTCCATTGGAAATCAATAAGGAAAGTTCCCTTCAGTTGGTCCCTCAAAATGAATTCATTTACTTTCTTCAGGTCCCTCTTCCTAGCCTAACAGCGGTGGGGGCTTCTCCCTCTTTCAGACTCCTTTGCCCACCCATCAAAATACTCCAGGCACCCCTGGACTCCAGCAAGCAGTTCTGTTGAAATGTTCGTGAAGCCTGCAAGGTGACTGCCTCAGTGACAATCAGGGGCTGTGGAGTCCCCTGCGGCCCCAGCACTGGCAGCATGACGTACAGACTCAAACAGACACAGGGACAGAACAGTTACCCAGCTCACCTGAATCCAGCTCAAGTCTCCGCAGGCAGTGAAGTGCAGTACTGTCCCACTGAGTCACCAACAGGCAATTCACTATACAAAAGAAGAGGCAAGTCAAGGTGCCTACAATTCTGAGAGAAATGGGGTTGGGCAAAAGATTCTTCCCTCCCACCCCCCTCCATCAGATCTCCCTGTTAAATGATTATCAAGTTCACTGCTGGGTGGAGTGGGAGAGAGGGGGAATGTGTGTGAGCAATGGAAATTTCTCCTCACCTCCCTTCCCTCTCCAGACCTTGACCTATAATAAGAGGCACTGGCAGAGAGAGAAGGAGGGAAAGAGGCCATGCCAGGCAGAACTAAGGTCAGAAGTTTGCAGGCAACAGTTACAACATTCAGTGGAACTAATCCAAGTCCCTTTACACTCACTGGAACGAAACAAGCTCTCCTCTCACACACAGTTTGATAAAGCCTAACCAGACTGCCTCACATTCCCAGCTCTTTAAACTGTGGAATCCCCTTACAGTGCCCTGGGACATGGAACGAATCACCTCAAACTCCACCAGGAATGATTATGCTAAACCTGCTTCAGTGCTGGAGCTCAGAACAGAATAACAAGAATGAAGAATCCAGCTGTCAACCTGCAGAATGCAATGGAGGAACTGGGAGCTGTGCGAGGGGGATAAATATTTATTCTACTGCACTCAGGGCAACATATTGAAATGTCTGTGTTTTTACCACGCACATACACGTACACCCAGTCTGAGTTCACGGCTGGTGTAACACTATAGTTGTGGGCCAGTATCAGCATGCCCAAAGCCTTTATTTTGACACATGCCAATTGACCCCATTGTTTTCACGTGAGGACGGGTCTTATTTAAAGGAACACTCCCCATGTGTGTTTCAGAAATGCTCCGATTTCCTCTTTAGAGCAACGTCTCTGTAGTTGTATTTGTATCTCTTTCTGTAGTGATTTTGGCAGGGCTACTCACATGATCAGCTGCAGGACCCAGGATGCCAGTGCCTCCAGTTTTCTCATTAGCATTTAGTATCTTCCCCTCTCTTTGGCGCCCATCCTGCAGACACAGACCCATGTGCTAAAGCGAAGTGTTTGCAGGATCAGGGCCTATACAGTCACACAGGGCTCCAGCACATTTCCTGATCCATTTATCTGGGTTGGACACTACTGGGTGCCCAGCACCCTCAGTTGCCATCAGCGGTAGCCCATTAGGTGGAAGTTGAGGGCACTTGGGGAGCAGCAGGAAGCACCCAGCTCTGGGCTGTGCTGGGCCTTCTGAGAGACTCTGTGGGCTCTTTTATATCAATTCCCAACAAAATCCTGCTCAGACTCCAAAAGGGAGCTGGTAAATCTGCAAATACTCAGTGACTCCTGATGGAGGCAAGGAGCTCAGGGACGTCTGGGCACCTGTGAATGGTAGTTCCACCAGCATAAGCCATAAGACAGCCACTCAGGATTGCGTTTTACGAAGCAGGGGGAAAGGGCCTATGTTCTATTTTGGAGTGCACTTGTCTCCATACAACCACTGAACTGTAGGGCCAGAGCCTGATCCACTCTACCAGTCCCCTGGGCCGCCAGTGCCACATAAAGACTCTTTAAAGCTGCTTTAATTGGGCTGCTGGGAAGTCCTCCAAATTGGGGAAAAGCTGCATGCTGCCCCTTCCCAGCTCCAGTGCTCCCAGTATAGGGGACAGATTCAGGCTGGGACTAGAGGGCTGCTCTGTTCTGCTGATCTCTGGCTGGTGGAACAATCCCTTGGAGCTATTACAGCCAGTATAAGTTGCATGAAGAATCCATTCACTGAGAACCAAACTGGCCTACAGCACCCCTGGGACTTAGGGGAGGGTGGTCACCTTTCCAATGGATAACCAGACCACGGAGGCTCCACCCCCTGCCCCACATCTTCCCCCCAAGGTTCCACCTCTGCTCTGCCTCTTCCTCCCGAGGTCCCACCCCTGCCCCCACCTTTTCCTCCACCTTTTCACCTCTGCACCCTGCCAGCTGCACAAGCAGCCTGGCCCCAGAGGCGGCTGCTGCGCTGCCTCCTTCCCTCTGCTTAGAGTTGCCACGGATTAAAAAAGAACGGACATCGGGGCTTGTCAAATGGCACCCAGACACACAAGCCAAACTCCAGACTGTTCGGGTGAAAATCAGACGGGTGGCAACCCTAGCATGAAGGTGCCCCGTGGCCAAACCTAAGGATCAGAGGCCTAGTTCTAGTATTAAACATGAGCATGCTAGCTACTGTCAAAGCACTTGGCTTTAATCAAGAGATGGGCTGATGCAGCAGTAAGGTCCCCCCACCTGGGCACAGAAATAGGCCTATTCTTGTCTCACTTATGACAGGAGAGTCAGGCTCTATAAATCTCTATTGGGGCTAGATTTAAGATCTAACAGGGCTAAGTCTGAACATCAAGGCCTTGTCTTAAAGATGTACTGCTTTAAACCATAGCAATAAAGTTCAAGTGGTACAACCCACGCTAGCATGGGAGCAGTTATACTGGGATAAAATGGCTTATGTTGGCATAGCTTATTTCAAGATGGGAATGGGAATATACTGACATTTGTAGAGCTGGTAGAAAATGCTGATTAGAAAATGCCGAAACATTTTGAGGAAATGTATTGATTTCTCCTACATTTTTCAAATGGAAATGATCAGCATGTTTAAAATTTTTATATACTGTAAAACCAAAACATGTAAATAAGGGCCAAACAAAATATTTTGGAATATTTTGTTTTGCAAAAAAATTCAGAGATTTCTACTTTTCATCCCGATCCAGGACAAAATGAAAACTCAACAGCTCAGAATTTCCCAAGGGATGGAAATTCCATTTTTTGCCAAGCTATACTAGTATGAGGCGCCTTTGTACTGCTATAACTGCATCCACACTTGGAGTGGTGCACGTATAACTATTTTGATATAAAAAATAATATCTCTCTCTCTCCCTACGCTCCCTCCCAACCCCCCAAAATAGCTACAGTGGTACAAACTGTGCATAGACCAGGCCTGAGCAAGACCTATCAAAGCTGGAATACACTTACTGCTCTTAGCAGATCCCTGGGAATGAGGGAGACAGTCCCAGATCAGAGAGCGCATGGATGCATAACTTGTGTTGATAACCAGAGGCATTCTGAGGCACACCATATGCAGACTCCTAACTAGCATACCTGCGGAAGATAAGTACATGACAGCAAACTGATCTCTGCGTTTCAAGATTTCTCTTCTGGAGTTCCTAAGATGCAAAGGCAACTCTAGGGAATAAACAGCATGTACTTGAAGTTCACAGCAGCCACTAAAATGGGGAGGGCAGAGAAATAATAAAAAGGGACCTACCAGCATAGAGGTGAGAAACATGGACAGGAAACAACAAAATGAGATTCAAGCCGGAAAATAAACCCAAGCCTCTGAGATATCATCTTGAAGCACAGCTATGCACAGGGAGAAACGTAGAAAGCAGTAACTCCGAAAGCACGGCTCAGGTTGGGGATGCAAAGGGTAGGAGGTGGTATTTTACAAGCTCCACCCACAAAATAAACTCCACCCACTTCAATCACCAAATTGAGGTGCCACTCACAGTAGACTACAGATATTCAGTATATGATCATGTACGTCACTTCGCTCCACTGGAATCCCTGACCTCACGTCCCCCTCAGTATGACTTCAGTATGCCCATAGGCTCTACTCCAGGGGTTCTCAAAACGGGGAGGCGTGACCCCTCAGGGGGTCGTGAGGTTATTACGTGGGGGGTTGTGAGTTTTCAGCCTCCACCCCCAAACCCACTTCACCTCCAACACTTATAATAGTGTAAAATATAAAAAAGATATTGTTTTAATTTATAAGGAGGGTCACACTCAGAGGCTTGCTGTGTGAAAGGGGTCACCAGTACAAAAGTTTGAGAACCACTGATCTACTACATCTTTGGGCTTTGCCCTCTGATTGCAGGGGAAGAATGCTGGTGGTATCTCCCAAATGCCACCCATTTGTGACATCAAAATGAGACATCATTTGCAGGGAATTGTGCAGATCTGTGATCCTCCCTCTCCTTTCTTCCACGAGCAATGAAATACTTAATGATATTGAAATTTAAATTCTCATCACTGGGCATCTTACGTTATCGCCTCCCTGATATGAATGAGGAAATTCACACCTCTCGGAGCTGTTGTTCCAGACTCTCTTGCAGAATCATTTGTATATCGGTAACACTCAATTTTCATTTTCGAGTTTGGAGGTGCCAGTAGGGTGTACATGGGCATACTGGCTGTTTCCAAGCCCTAGCTGAAAACACCTAGCAGCTATAATGGAAAGTAAATCAGACCTGAGTTAGCAAAGAGACTTGATTGCAAAATAACCCAAGGCACTTTTGAGCTGTGTACACAAAAGTATCGTGTCCTGGACTGGGGAGGAATAGTCCTTCTTCAGACGGCTCTGGTACAACCACATGTGGAACATTAAATTCGGTTCTAGTCACCCCATCAGGGTGTATTATCTTTTCCTCAGCATCTCCATGGGGCTGAGGGAACCAATGGGCGGTTTGATCCCACTCTGCCTGTTATCAATAGGTTCAGCTGCCTTTGCCGTTCATAGTGGTGTTTCCAGAGACAATTTACAAGTTGGTTTAGATGGGAGGAGCCCATCCTTAGGGAAGGACTTTCCTGGACCATTGACGTCAGGAAGAACCAGATCCCCTTGTAGGCTGTCTCAACAAAGAGGCCGAGAACAGACTGGGCCACATTAGAAGTGGTTCCTCCTGGTCCAGCACGAAGCAAATGGAAAGAGAGCAGTTTGAGAAGCCCAAAGCACTGTTGCCCACGCTCTACCTATTCTATGGAGAGGGGACTCCGTTTCCAAGGGTGCCACCCAGTGCCTTTCACACCAAGGTGCTGTCCTCTGGAGGATCACTCGTCTATTTGGAGCCCATTCTCAGCTTGCCAGGCACACAAGGTGCCTGCCAGACATGGGCCATGGCACTCCTAAGGGACTGATGCTGAGCTTGACAGGCTAGTATTTAGTCTGCCCCTTCAGCCTATGGATGCCTTTGTTATTTTCCATTGGCTAACAATGGGAATATGTTATATCGCAGCAGTATTCCTCTCATCCCAGCTCTCTATTCA